ACAACAGGCTGTCACACTCCGAAAACATCGCGGCGGTGAGTCGGGCGTGCAGGTTCTTTCTGTACAACATCCGAAGAATCCGCCCCTTCCTCACCACCTACTCTACTCAGCTTCTGGTCCAAGCAATGGTTCTGTCCCGCTTGGATTACTGCAACTCCCTTCTTGCAGGTCTTCCAGCGTCCGCCATCAGACCCCTGCAGCTCATCCAGAATGCTGCTGCCCGTCTGATCTACAACCTTCCTAGAGACACTCATGTGACCCCCTTGCTGACTGCCCTCCACTGGCTGCCTGTTATCGCTCGCATCAAATTTAAAACTTTGGTGCTAGCATACCAGGCTGTTAAGGGGACAGCTCCAGCTTACCTCCAGACGATCGTCAGACCCTACACCCCTGCCAGACCCCTCCGTTCTGCCACCTCTGGTCGCCTGAGGCAGCCCCCTCTCCGCTCCTGCACTTCCAGGTCACGTCTGCTGTCTGTCCTGGCCCCCCGGTGGTGGAATGATCTTCCCGTGGAGGTCAGAACAGCAGAGACATTGGCCATCTTCAAGCGCAGACTGAAGACTCACCTCTTCAGGCTGCACCTCTCCCCTCCCCTCCCTTGCTCTTTGTAATGTGTCTATTCCTATTTGCACTTATCTGTGATTGTTTTTAAAACTATGCTCTTAATTTGTGATTGTTTTTAACTAGGTTGTTTAGCAAGTTTGTAGTCTCTAGGGGAGTCCTGATCTATTCGATCACCTTGGCACTTGGGACTATTACCCCTCTCTAGGTTTATCTTCGCACTTTTTGTACTGTTCTTATGCACTTTTCCTTGTAAGTCGCTCTGGATAAGAGCGTCTAACAAATGCCCATAATGTAATGTAATGTAACATGCCCAATAACACACATCATGGCACCCAGGAAATAATTTTAAGAGGAAATCAGCCATTTTAGGAGGCATGTTACTGCCATATCAGGTTTTAAACCGGATTGCTGTACGACACCATTTCAGAATATGCAGGATATGATATAGGGCTGAGGAGTATCTGGATGAGCAGTTGAGAGTTTACAATGTCGACTGGGACTCTCTACTGCCCCCTGCAGGCACCCTACTGCACAGTCACTCTTACCGAAAACCTGAGCACTTCACTGGCCAATCAGTGGTGGTACTAGGGGCTGGAGCTTCGGGATTGGACATCTCCATTGAGCTTGCTGGCGTCGATGCTCAGGTGAGCGTACACCTTGAATTAATTTTACATTGTAGTCATTTTTGCTGATGCTTTTAGCTCAAAGCAGCTTATTGGAAGTGTGCAAGTTCAACAAGTGCAGCAGCATCAAATCCATGAGCTGTGAAATAGCACATGCAGGGCCACAGTAAACAAACACTATGAGCTGTGAAATAGCACATGCAGGGCCACAGTAAACAAACACTAAGAGCTGTGAAAGAGCACATGCAGGGCCACAGTAAACAAACACTAAGAGCTGTGAAAGAGAACATGCAGGGCCACAGTAAACAAACACTAAGAGCTGTGAAAGAGCACATGCAGGGCTACAGTAAACAAACACTAAGAGCTGTGAAATAGCACATGCAGGGCCACAGTAAACAAACACTAAGAGCTGTGAAAGAGCACATGCAGGGCCACAGCAAACAAACACTAAAAGCTGTGAAAGAGCACATGCAGGGCCACAGCAAACAAACACTAAGAGCTGTGCTAAGTGCCTGTGGAGTGAAAGGAGTGTTTCTTTCATTTTAAGTACTTCACAAGCACATCAGTCATAATTCTATAATTTTTTGGAAATGTTCTGTTCCTTTATTCTTCTCATGTCAGCCTTCTGAAGTGAAGCAGGTGTAAGCTTGATGTGTGACCTCTGTGGAAAACATAAGTTACATAAGGAGGTACAGATGGAAAATAAAGGCCGAACACATGTTTTAAAGTTTTTTTTTTGTTTTTTGTTTTTTTTACATTTTTCTATTAACTTATTAATGTTGATAATGGTATTATTAATGTAGGTGACTCATTTGCTCTTTATTTTTTATTTGAATCCTTCATTATCTAATGGAACTTTTATAATGTAATTAATGTAATTTGACTGACTCGATATGGTGATTGAAGATCCCATGACATGTTGAGATTGAGTAGGGGTGTGAACTCTGGTGCCCTGGTGAGATTTCCTTATCGGGCCCTCTAATCATTCCTCCCTCCATCTGATTGGCTGCACAATCTTTTCCATTCCCCTCCCACTTTCATACTCCAGCTCATCACTGCAAATAAGACTAGAGTTTGATTCATTTGACCTACCTGCTAAGGTCTAAATGATAAAATGTTGTAAATGCATAATAATAATAATAATTATAATAATTAAATACAATTTTAAAAATAACAATGATTACAGATATTTGAATTCTTACCCAGGAGAAAACCTCATTGACATTTAGGCCAAGAAAGCAGCATAGACCAATACCAACTGACCAAAAGTTTACAAAATACAACACTGAAAAAGACAAAAGACAATACAGTGTAAATTATTCCCGGTTGCACAGGTTCTTTTAAACCCCCCACCATTCGCCCCTTTGCCCCTCTTCATGTTGCAGGTGATCCTGAGCCATGGCAAGCCCCCCCTGGCCTTCCCGCTGCCCCCCCAGGTGCGCCAGGCCCCCCCTGTGCGGCAGGTGCTGAAGGATGGAGGGGTGGAGTTTGGAGATGGGAGTGTTACCCATCCACAGGTGCTCCTCCTGTGCACAGGGTATAGCTTCAGCTACCCTTTCCTCAGCGGGGCGTCACTGGGCCTGCAGGTGGAGCCACACCTGGTGTCCCCGCTGTACAAGCAGCTGCTGCCCCCGGCCTGGCCCTCACTCTTCATCATCGGCATCTGCAAGATTATCTGCCCATTCCCCCACTTCCACACTCAGGTCAGACTCCCCCCCCCTTTCCAACATGCAGGTCAGACCCCGCCCACCATACCCATATGTAGGATCAATCTCCTCCCCCTACTACCACACACAGGTTACACTCTGGCCACCAAAATCTGCACACAATTTACACTCTGCCCTCTCACAGTTCAGGCTCTGCCCCTCCACAGGTATGCTATACCCTCTGTCCCCCACAGAAGCATTGTGACTGAAACCCAGCTGCATCCAGTTGCAGGTTTCAATCTTGCCTATAGCTTAGATGTCATTGTTTCAGAGACTGCATGTCCCACTCTCTCTTCACCTTCCTATTCTCAACCTCCTTAAATCTCTTGCCCTCTTATACCATCCTCTGCTCCCCCTTCTCCTCCCATCTCCCCCTCCCTCTCATGCCTTCTCTCTCTGCAGGTGCAGTTCGCACTGGCAGTACTAGAGGGCACTGTTTTGCTGCCCTCATGTGCTGAGATGGAGGCAGAGGTGAGGAGAGAGGCAGACAGGAAACTGATGGAGGGGGTTCAGCCTAGGCACCTACTGAAGATGGACTCAGACCAGTGGGGGTACTACCGAACCCTGGCCAGAATGGGGGGGTTCAGCCCCCTACCTCCCGTCATCCAGAGCCTGTACGAGGAGGTGTGGAGACAGAGGCGAAGGGACCCTCAGAAATATCGGCAGATTAACTATCGACTCGTCACTGACACCCAGTGGGAAATACTGGAACTGCAGCCTGACAGGGAGACGAATGGGGAGAGGGAGACTGAGAGATAAATTGGATCCTCTGATTTCCAAAAATAAGTAATATTAATTATAATAATAATAATACCTACACTGTGTGGGCAGCTGGCTTTTCTCTCTCAGACACCCCCTGTGGCCCTTTTAGAGACACATGGCAGCCATTTTGTGTCACAGCTGCTCATTATCATTATCATTTACTACCAAATGATTCAATTAGCCGATTAGGCGTGGGTACTGATCATGTGTCTAACCACTGTGGTTCAGCACTCCCTGACTCCTGTTTTAAGCTTCAGTATCATGGTTTTCATTTCCAAATAAGCATTTAAACAACCATTCTTTTTCCAGAACTAATCATGAAAAACCCAAGACTCAAATGTTTAAAAAACATTCCACCTTTTCCAATGATTTAAAATGTTTCAAATTACAAAATATGTAGTGGACCCATGCACTACTGCAGCACATGATTCCTGAAATAGTATGATACTGCTAGTATTATTATGGTATATGAGAAAAGGTTAATGAACATGAAAGAATATAGAAAGATGACCAATTTCCAGTTTGAAATAAGAGTGTGAGATGAAATAATTATAATCAAATAGACATGGTCCACACAGTAATAAAATGGCACCTGCTTCTCTTGTATCAAGTGACTGATGTGTTTCTTGAATAGAAGAGACATGATAATGGGTGACAGATTACATTTATATAATAGTTTCATTCAACCAAATCACATTGTATTAAAGAAGGGAAAACAACATCAAACCGCTCAATGGGAAGCCATTTTATGCCAGAAGGCTCACCGCACATCAGATGGGGTAGAGACAGCAGTCGTCAGTAAGCCAGTTAAACTGGGGGGTGATCAGATTACGGGCTGAGAGAGCTTTGTGGGGAGTTTCTCCAGGACACTGGGGACCCGCCTGCTCTTCGCATTATCAGTCATTCGGTGTTCAATGGACACTGTGTCAGGGCCTCAGTTCTCAATCGAAATACAGCACCTTCTGCAGCGCATTGTCCCCTCTGCTACACGGCAGTGTTGGGGTTCTGCTTGGTCTGGATGGAGGTAGCCTCCTACATGGTCCACCCAAGTCCCAACTTAGCCTATACCTGCAAGATTACTCCACTAGGCAGAAGCCTAGTGTAGAGTGATGAGCCTGAAATAGAACTAAATCACAATACACAGTAAATATTATTACTGCCTGTAAATTTCAGTTTTGTTAAGACTTATTTAAACCTTTAAAAATACATAGTCTGTATGAGAGGCCCTCAGGTGTGACAAACTAGTTTTGAGTGTTCATGTACACCCGCTGTAGGTTGTTATACAATAAGCTGGACAGAGTTAGGCTTCTCCTTTGATTTCTATACAACGTGTAAAAATAACACTCATCCATTGGGTGGGTTCGAACCACCAGCCTTTCGGTTTACAGCCGAATGCACAAACCAATTGGAATGCCAAAGAAAAAGAAGGGGGAAAAGAGGGGGGAAGGGAGAAAAAGAAAGAACAGAGAAAGTTTAAAAGTTGTTTCCAAATTTGGGTGAATAAGGAACACCCCATCTGCTTTGACCATTTTGGTATGGACGTGAGAGAAATGTTGGAGATGAATATACTCTTGTATAGGGTTGCCAGAATGGAGGAATTCATTACCAATGTAGGATATTTTAAAGTCCACAGATAACACTTCAGAGGAAAGTTTCTATGGGTGTCAGTCGTGGATGGGGGTTTCTTCAAAAGAGATTATGGTTAGAAAAAATCTTGATTGACAGCTCATGGGGAAATCCACCGTGGAATTCATGAGGTTTCATTTTGCTGCTCTGAGTCAGGTGTAATTAAAAAATTGTAAAATACAGGAAAACGTTCAACAAAGTTCGACATCAATATAACTCACTGCCTCTCTCAATCTGTTGCCTTGGAAACGGACAGCTGAGAGCTTATGAGTCACCTATGGCAGAGCACAGGGGAGTAAATTTATGCAGAAAGTCCAATTGTGCTCTGAGTTTCATTCCCATTTTTGTTGTTCACTTGGTTGGATAGGGCTTTGGTCAGTGTGAAAACTGCTAAGAGGAAACGTTGAGAAGGGTCTGGCTTTGGCCGCCTCAGACCTCGGAACACTGACAACCCCCCCCCCCCACGGAGCAGCTCCAGGGAGTCACCTCCAGGACTAAAGTTAGCTTTTGCACAAGTCATTAACATAGAAGATCACACAAAACTAAAGATTGTTGGAATTCATCATCTTTTTCTCTGAAATTTATGTCCCCATTTTTCCTCCGAGTCCAGTCTCAAAGGAACATGTTGATCTTCTGACGAGGAGCCCTTTCTGCAGTCTGCAGGAGGAGAGAGCTGTGAGCTTGTGGCTCCTGTGATTAATGTGCCAGCCAATCTCACTTCCTTCCACCCTGCCAAGCAGGCTTTGGCCTTTAGGGTTTGAACTGCAGTGTTGCTTGATAGCCACTAGATGGAGCCTGGCTTACAAAGAGATCTGCTTACCCGTAATATCTGCAGAGGACCCACCCTGCCAAAAGTGCAGGTATTAAATAAACAAATAAGTGCTACCTATTGGAGGTTTATGAGATGGCCAGAGTGCACTCTGGGATGCTGTATCCATGTTTCCTTTGTTTGACGTGGCCGTGGGTCTCTCCTTCAGTGAAGGAATGAATGAAAGGCTGAATTTCCAGCAGCTTTGCAGACAGGTTGGAACGGGCCCACATGCTCATGGGGGACTTTAGGGAAGAGGGTTTGCTGGCCTGTGGGGGGCACTGTGCTCAAACCTGGTGTAATACATGGCAAACGAGAGAATGAATTGTAATCAGTTAACTGACTTGCTGTATAATCCATTGCAATCCCTACCCATGTTGAGCTCAGTTGGCCTGACCTGGTTAAATGAAGGACAAAAAGCATATAAAAATAAAGGCAGGCACTGAAATGTCTTTACATCACGCCTGCACAATAAACTAGATTTAAGGGTTAAAACTGATAATCCATCAAACTATTTGTACTGGGGGGGAAACTGCCTTCTTAGAGCATTGGATGGGACATGTCTCAGGTGCCACATGTGACTTTGAGCTCTGTGCCTACATTTTATGTTGTTAAAATGTGGTTTTATTTGTCTGTTCTGGCTTTCTGTTAAGATGTGATGGCCAAGAGGTGAAGGCATTGGGTTAGAAATCCTATTGGGTTTCACCATGTAGGTCTGAATCCTCCTCACAGTGAGGGTAGCTTTTTGAGTTGCACTCAGGAAAGGACATTTAGAGATTCACTCCAGAAGTGGATCCTGTAAGGGACAGGCATGAGACTTCTCTAGCCTCTTATTTTTTCTGTTTTTTTTTTTTTTTCAGTTAAGCCGAGTACTGCAGTTCAGTTGAAAAATTTTCATACACAATGAAATGCCCAATTGAGTCTACTCTGATTAGTACTCTGAGGAGCTGCCCTCGCAGATGAGCACTCATGTATGATGCGACTGTATTCTCCTGACCACTGCGCAGTTGCTGCCATGTAGGAGGGGAGCTCTCCCCCCGCCTCCATGCCCACTAGATGAGGGACATTATGTAATATGTAAAGAGAGCCCTCTGGCCAAATGTATACAGCTGCACAGTTCATTTGAAAAAGGGTGTAGTGCTCGGTATAATCTAGGGCCCCTGAGGCCAATGACAGAGCTCTTCCCTCACTCACTCTCTTTCTCTCTCTGCATCCATATGTGTTTGTTTTCTTTTTCCCCTTGGGGGTTGGCTTGAGTGGTGTATCCTGGTGGGGGGTGGGGGGGGGCAGCCGGAAACCTGACAAGCTGAAGGAGACATGTGATTGGAGGAAAGGAGGTAAGGAGTGAGAGGTCACATACCTAGATGTGTGGTGGGTCGTGTGTATGAAGGGAAATCATTAACTGGTTAAAATATCTTGGAACCTTTCCAACTTTGCTGTAAATTATACTGACTTGATCACTGTACTTTGTACTTTGATCTGATTTAATTACATATTGCAGGCACTTTCAAACACCTCGCCTTTGTTTTAGCATAGTGTTTCACATTAATTCTCCAGTAACATTTGTCTAGTGACAGTGTGCTGTGATATGCAGTATTAAGTGCTAAAAGCTACGGTGGTGGGCAATGGTTACTCTTGCTTACAAAAAATTTTATTCAATTCAATTTCATTTATATAGCACTTCTTACAACAAGTTGTCACCAAGTAGCTTTAGGCCTGAAACCCCCCCAGAGCAAGACATACCAACAGTGGCAAGCAAAAACAACCAGGAAGAAAACCTTGAGCAGAACCTGGCTCGGAGGGGGAACCTATCTGCTTCTGGCCAGCACTGGGCAGAGAAAGAGTTAAACCAGAGAAATGAAGTGTCATTATGTAATATGAGGAAAATAGCTTGCATGAATCATACTGACTCAAACAGTAATAGAAAACTGTAACAATAATAACAGAAACTGTGACAAAAATTCGGGAGGACAGCTGTGAGGAGGAGGAGGGCTCAATGGACCAGCATTGTTTGGTGGGGTGCCGTTCTTGGCATGGGGAGATTGAGACAGGCAGGATGGGAAGAAACCTGAGCCAGGGCGGGGTGCAGTACAGGAGCTTCAGCTCCAGGCAGGAGCGCAGAGCAGGGAGACAAAAACAAAGCAAAGTATTGATTAGTGAAAGGTGAAGCTGGTAGGAATGAAAATCAGAGAAGCAGGAAAGGAGAGGGAGGAAAAGAGGTGCCCATGTGCAATAAGGAGAAAAACCTCAGCAGGCTGGCACTGTGGCAGCATACCTAAGAGACACAGGACATGGGGTCAGTACAGTCATGAGGGTCAACACCAGGCACTCAACACCACACCATAGGTGGAGCAGCTTAACACAGAGTGTCCATTCCAATATGTGGGGACAGCAGTGACCACTCAGTCCACCAGAGGCTCTATGATCTGTGTCAACACCAAGCCATGTCTTTTAAAAAAAGGACTTACTGTGTACATATGTTTTGAGCCTGGTTTTAAAGGAAGAGAAAGAGTCTGCTCCCCAAAATTCAGTGGATAAGTTGTTCCATAGGAGAGGGCCTACGGTACTTTCACCCACTCTCAGACCAATGAGAAATCCTGCATTTTGTGAGCAAAGAGATTGTTAGGGGATATAAGGCTAGAGGAGGTCCTTCAGATAGGGAGGGCCGAGCGAATTTAAAACCTTACACATGAGAAATAGTATTTTGAAATCAATGCAAAATTTGATGGGTAGCCAATGAAGAGGTGCTACGTAAAGGGTGGATGTGCTGAAAGCATTTTGTTTTTGTTAGGATTCAGGCAGCTGCATTCTGAACCAGCTGGAGGGGCTTCAGGGAGGCATTTGCATATCCTGACAGGAGGGCATTACAATAGTCCAGTCTGAACATAACAAAAGCACAGAACATCTTTTCATTGTCATGGACTGATAGAAAGTTCCTGATTTTGGCTATTTTTCTCACAATGGAGGCAAACGGTTTATAAGTGTTTTTATATGTGTATCCAAAGATTTCAGGATCAATAGGGGAGTGATAGCTGCTCCTGATGGACTTTGGGCCAAGAGCCAATATTTAAATGTTATCTGAGTTTAAGATGAGAATGTTTTTAGCCATCCACTCCTTTACATCTTTGAGGCAGGCTTCCATGCTTGACAGGCCTCTAAGGGCATCAGGTTCAGCTGAGTATCATCTGCATGACAGTGGAAACTATTGCCATGTTTACAGATGATATTGCCAAGAGGTAACATATAAAATGAGAGGAGGAGAGGTCCAAGCACAGACCCTTGTGGTATTCCATATCGTACTCTGGAGCGATTGGATGACTCATCGTTAATGTAGACAAACTGGTGACGTTCTGAAAGACCTGAACCAGGAAGGGGCCTGTCCTCTTAAGCCAACAAGATTTAAAGTCTGTCTAAAAGAATAATATTGTCAATAGTATCAAAGGCTGCACTTAATTGTAGAAGCACAAGCAGACAGATGCAGCTATTGTCAGAAAAGAGGAGCAAATCATGAACTGTCTTGAGAAGAGCAGCTTCTGTGCTGTGATGAGATCTAATACCAGACTGAAAGACTTCTAGGATGTTCTGGAGGAAGTAGCAGGTGTGCTTTGTTCCTGCTTTTTCCAAGATTTTCGATAGGGAAGGCAGGTCTGAAATGGGCTTGTGGTTCAACAGATCAATTGGATTTAGATTAGACTTCTTGAGAACAGGCTTGATAACTGCTTCACATTACATCACAGGCATTTTGTAGATGCTCTTATCCAGAGCGACGTAAAACTCAAGTGCATTAGGCCAGGGATAAGAGTGCTAAAAGTCCCAGAGTGGAGTAAAAGTCCCGAGTGCCAGAGGGGACAGCAGAGACTTAGACCCTGTGAGTGACCTGTCAAGGAACAACAGAAAGAACACATAAGTAGCAACAGCAACAACAATCATAAAAACAAAAAAATAAGGATGGTACTAGTGGGAATGGCCTAACTAGAGGAGTTTGGGGG